ATTTCCTGTACACCGTCTGAAATAAGCGGGTATATACGCGGTCGTTCTGTATGCACGATAATCTTGTCTAATAAGCGCGAGGATACGCAGCGTATCTCTATTTCTTCATATTTTCAATTATCGTCGTTTTATTTTTTATTTTTTTCAAATTGTTTGCATAGTAGGAAACCGACTTGAGAAAAATCTTACACGGTTATGCGTTGCGTTATAATGAAAAAAAATTGGAACATTCATCGAACTGTAATATTTTAGTTAGTCTGAAAGATGATAGAGTCACTCTTTCGACGCTTCAGCCATGTCTGTTTCATAAATTCCTGTATTTCCTTTAATCTCCTTTTTTCCGATGCAATACACAGCTCGCTGCACACAATCCAAGGTTTTTCGCGACTACTGTCGATTGTAATCGAATTGTTTCTGAAGTCACGTGGAAATTAACGGCGAAAGGGAAACAAAGGAAATAATATATGGCACTTCTTCGTTGAATCGTCGATGCGTACGGTTGGCAATATGCTTTGTCCCGCCAACCGAAGAGAATCCAAAGGAATACTCTTTGCGGCGAGAATGCGTGTAGAAATGTGAATGGGCGAGGAACGTAGGAAACCCGGGCATTTACGTTCTTCATTAGTAATGGAATAGAAGAGGTTTGTGTCTGGGAGATGAGACGACGGGAAAGAAGTATAGGGAGCTAACCGGAGTCGCTTCGACAGCCTTGTCGAAAAAGGAAATGTTCTGCATCTTAAGGAGAGTTTTTTTTAGGGCGCATTTTACCTAGGTACTTTGGCTTGGATATAATATTTTCCGTTTTGTGAATATACATTTAACGATTTCTCGCGAAATTCTAAAATTCCATTTTATAAATCACTGAGTCGAATATTACAAATGTCAGTGCACTTTCGCTGTAATTACAATGTGCACTCTGTTGAAGGCCAATTAATAGTAACAGAGAAGCGCCCGGGAGAAAAGCAAACTGGTATAACAAAGCCTTTTTCCAATAAGTGAATGTTTTACTCTTTGAATTGCATCGTCGTGTATCTATACATAAATTTGATTTTCAAAATTGAAATGAAATTCCATTCTTTTAATAAAATTTATACAAATCCGAAATTCATACATTTATATATACACACGTTATATGTAAAAACATTTACAAGTTTTTAAATATAAACTCGTTTCTAGAGAAATTGTAAAATGAATTTTGCATCGCGGATGTATGGACAATATTCTGAATTTATCCAATGTATAAATCTCTGAGAGATGTACGTCCAATCATAACAATTGTACAGTTTAAAGTATAAATCGAGAATAATTTCGAAAAGGCACGAAAGTGAAAAGAGACCATTCGATAGATCTACTTCAAATTTGATCCGGAATAAATACTTGATTCGAGACACGCGAGAGGAGCGTTTCCGTGAAGAGGCGGAAAGAGGTAACGCGTTGCACGCTCCGACCTATAGACGCGCGTTGCACCTTCCGCGCGTATGTGGAGGGTACCTAATGTGGCAGTTGTGTGGCTAATGCTCGTTATCTCGGCGTGTCGACTATTTAATGGTCCTCCGTAATGGCCGGCCCAACGATATATTGTCCGTTTCTCGCGACGCGCCCGCTAACTCGACCTCCCAATCTACGGCATTATTCCCGACGGTTATTTTAGCGGGTTGTGCCACCTTGGCGATTTGCATAGGGAAATCGTGTGGTACCCTTTTGACACGGTGCCGGCGCCGCGCATCGTGCCGCATCGCATGCGAGCGAGCGAGCATGCATGCATGCATGCATGCATGCGTGCATGTGCCGCGTCCCCATGTGCTTGCGATTTCCGTTCACTATATGTTCCCGCGGAAGAAAGATGAGAAACGACGATGCGAAATCAATATTAGGCCGCGCCAGAGAGAATAGCTGCTTCCGGGAAGACTTACGAGACGCGAAGTGACGTGACGGTTTTTCTGCCACGACAGATCGTATTACTCTTGGGTTGATTTGGTCTCCTCGACTTCATCTATCTTTAGCCGGCCAAATTAAGCGAGCGTAAAGAACGCTTGGAAAAAGATGTGGAGGATAGTTGCATCCTGGAATTCCACTTAAATTGATTCGATCCTTTCACTTTTCCCCGTGAAAAAATTCACAGAATTCTACCGATTTTGAATTCCGTGAGCTAGCTAAACCGTTGGAAGGCTTTTACATTTTACACAGCAGAGTGATGCGCATAAAATCGACCGCGCGGATAGGTTTTTGTAACTGTATTTTGCAACTATATATTTTTCGTTTAGGGCTGGTTTGACGCGCGCCACCCTGTACATTACAAATTATTCCTCTTATATCTATTAAGAAATTAAGTAATATCTTCTGCATCAACGTATTTCCAATTTGCGGTTTCCGATGCGATCGCAAATGAAATTACCTCATTCGACAGCATTGCGAAATTATTCTACATATTTAAATTATGCTGCGGCGGACTGATGATATATGGCGAATGCATATTAATATAATCGATCCAAGTTTTCGCGCAGAGAGCGCACAATTCCCAGGTTGACTGGGCGTAGAAACCATTTACATAATCCAGAACTTTCATTCTTTATCTTATGGAATCTGCGCGAAGTTTTTCACTTTATAGAATCTGCTTGATCATAACGTTACGCGAACATGAGCTTTTCCCCGCATTTCTTTTTTTTTCCACTTAGAAAATCAGGTTGCAAATGTAACTTTGGAGAGGGGTATTATTATCGATCATCTTGATTTAATTTTCGAGCGAACGGGAAGCACAGAAAACTTCACTTGTTCGTTCGCAACACGCTAAACAAAACTCTACTTTCGGCATTGTAATGCAAACTGGCTTTCAAAGCTACAGAATTATCGGTGGTGTGTGTTTGTGTGTATGTGTATACACACAAGAAGGACACGCGGCGTTACGGATGAAGTCGATTTTACGACGCTACTTTGCTGTATTGTGCGCCGGTACAAAAGTACCGCGGTGGGTACAGCATAACTATGCTAATACACCTAGAGAAGACTATACCTGCTATATTTCTAGTTACTCTCCGCAACGAAAGGCCCCCTGTTGCGGTGTCTATTGCTATCTACGATATGCATAGGCGCATAAGGCGCATAAGGTATCTCGCATGAAGGCCGTGAGAATTTTCGTGATGCTTAAGAACGCGGATACGGCGCTGGATGAGTAACGAGACATTCCTCAGTGAGCGCGAAACATTAAATAGAAGATAATTATTTCGATTTATTAACTACTCTCGCGGATCGCGCGCGCGCGCGCTATGAGACAATTTATGACACTTCATGCATTCGAGCGAGCATTTTTACATGACGAATCTTCGTCGTAAAATTATAGTCGCACGGTCGTCCGCGATTAAAGCTCAGTCTTACATTACGCTCATACGTATGGCGTATCTCTTAGATTAATTATTATCCTCGATAACCATCCGACTGTTTTAATCTTTTTCCTGGATGAATTATGGGTAGGAAACAAACGCGATCAGAACTCGAAAGTAATGTATTTAATTGAATCACGCTTAAGATGTTATTTTAAAGTACGCAAACCGATGTATTCATATGCTAATAATCCGTATCAAGTCGATCGATATTAATCAATGATGAAAGGAGATATGATTTTTATTAGGAAAATCTACTTCTATATTAGATATGAATCAGACGTGGAAATATATTAACTAATACCAGACACAAAAGATATTTGCTTCCCTTGATTAACAGATATTATCGATTTAGTTCCACTCGTTTTAGTACGAAAAGTAGCCTCCCTTTTTCCCCGTTTTGCTCCGCAAGCATTCAACTAGTTGCAAAAACTTAAGAGATATAGAAAGAGATAGAGAAGAAATCACAAGAGGGAGAGAAGAGCAAAAACTTTTGAACACATTGAGCCATGGAACGAGCTTTCATCACGAGGGCTATTGAATTGAAATCAAGTTCTTACTCATTTCCGTTGAAAAAGCGGTATTCGGTGTAGATATCAAATTCGTAAGTTTATCATATTTCGACTGCTGACGTAACGATATTTTTGACGTTATATCATTGACCTGCAATCGAACCAGAAATATGAAACGTAGAAAAATGTTTTGAGTTAATCAATTTGTAGTTTATGACAAGTGCTATGACGTCGAGTCGTTTATATAATTGTAGAAACAGGCAAAATAAAAAGAACATTTTGCATTGTGTTGAATAACGCCTACAAAGATCGAGTAAGTGACGTACAATATTGCCGACTTACAGCTTCTTTAAATTCGTTAAGATAGTATTTCTCGCGCTACTAATGGCGGCGAGCGCGATTCAACAGCAATATTTACGTAGAGAATCCTACGTCGCGGAGGAGAAGGCAAAAGCTGAAATTAATTGCCCTCTTTCAAGCAGTCGTGAAAACGACTTCGCCACTGCACAGCTCCTTTTTACTCCCTCCCCCTCCCCCTACCCGTGTCTTTATTCCTGCTCACGCTTGTGGAATGGTACAAGCGGTCATTAAAGCAAGACGAGGCATATAATAACGCTAATTGTCAACTTTCCGCTTAGCCAAGTGTTTGGCACCTGGGTAAAGCTGTTCCCAGCAATGAAAGGATGAGCTATAATAACGACGTTGTCGCGTGTTGCAATCGACATACATCATTATTGACAGCACAATGCGGTATCCTCTTCCCTGGGAACCGTGAATTAACGTTTAATACCGGGTTCCCGGGGCCATACTGGGCAGCTAGTCGGGTATTTTGGGCAATTAATCCGAGCCACACCCTCTCCGACACGAGTAATAAAACTTCTTAATCGGTTTGCCGAGATAATATCACGTTTGGGCCGCAAAATCCTCCCCTATAGTCCGATTAAAAATAAGACCAACGGGTCGATCAGATATCAGCATGGAGTATAGTTAGCGTACGGCGCGATTTTTACAGCCCGATTATTTTTCGCTATTAGTTTCTAATGACATTTGTAAATTTTTTTCTGTTACAGGTAAGTTTACAAATGTAAGGATTATGTGCCGGAGAGAACCTAACCAGAAAGCCAAGAGAGAATGTAAACGGTATGTGTATCCGCGTATTTGTTACTAGACATATATCCCGGCGTATTCGTTTCCATCTTGCGGCATAAGCTCGAAATGTCGACCCATCTGTCGGCTTTGCGAGATAAAGTTCTAGTATGACACTTGTTACGCAAATATGACACTATTACTTTTCCTGCTCTCGCGGAGAAACGTCCGTTAAAAACGACTCTCGACTCCATTTCGGCTCGACAGATGGCCGAGGTAGACAGTAACACGATGAAAATTCCTTCCATTACACATCCGTGCCTTTTCTTTGCGCTCAAAAATATGCGTGTATACTATATTTTTAGCATAAGTATAAGTAAAATGCATACATCTTTTTAATTTAATGGCATAAATTGAAGAAAAATATTCATTTCGCGTCACTATTTGACAGTCGCGAATATAAATTCCTGAAAAGTGCATTATTTTTTCAAAAAAATATTTGTCAAATTTCTATTAAAATATTTATGTAATAAAAAATATATAACCGGTAAAAATTCTATGAACGTTAAATGCAATTTTCAGATTGCTGGCAGCTAATTATATTAATTAATCAATTAGCCAATCAAAGAAGAATTATATTAACATAACATAAACTGAAAGAATATATACTCCACAATATTTATCGCTTGCTTTATTATCTAACTGTAAAATATTTTGTTATGCAGTAATATATGCGCTAATTCTATGAAAAATGTATTTTTTATATTCAGCAACGTTGCGATAAAAAAAAACGGGTTAAGGGTCGTTAATGAGCATAGTAATATCTTTCTTAATTTCCGCGTCCTTTTTTGCTGGAAACTCGACCAGGATAAGCGAGTCTTTTGTGCGAACGGTAAAAAAGTCCGACTCAATTAAAGTCTTGTATAGCGGTGGAAGAGGAGGAGGAGGCGACAACGCGAATCACGCTTTCCGTGCTTAAATCCCCAATTTCACGGCTACCTTCGTATCGAGCGGAGCGTGACGCGCCTCGATCGTTTCCGTGACATTTTTCTTGCTCGGCACGCGAAGCCGAGCGAAGTCGTAAAGTCCACAGGAAATCGGGACGGAGTTAGGATAACCCGAGCCGTGTGGCTTTCCGAGTGTGTATACATCCGATACGGTTCCAAGGACTCCCCGAGATCTCGCGACTATGAGTTTCTATTAAACAACTTATTTGTTAAGCTCAGGGGGTTGATTTAATTTTACCTCTTCGTGTCGGGACTTTATTCGTGTGACGGGCAGTCACGCTCATAAGTGACGAGAATTAATTAACCGATTAATAAAATAAAATCTGTGATGTTAATTTTTTCTGTACTTTAATTTAAATTTATAATAATTAAAACTTCGTTATTAAATATTTTTTCACACGTATGTACGTACATTGTGAAATACATCCTCGGAGATAGTGTAAGAATTAGAGAAAGAGGCCAACTATGAAGCTCTCTGTTTGCGTCGGTGAAAAAGCGCGAGTTAACAAAATGCGTGTAGCAACTAGTGCAAGGCGGAAAAAAGAACATGCGAACCAGAGAGAAAAAGAAAAATAGGGAGAAAGGGAGAAAAAAAGCGGGGAAAAAAGACAGAGAGGAAAGGTCAAACCGATGCAAGCAGAACCGGTGAAAATCGCTGTTTTACGCGGATCATAAAAGTTACAAGAGGGCAGGAAACGCAATGCTCCAACTCTATGCTTCTCCCTCTCTCTCTTTCTCTCTACTCTCTTTCCCTTTCTTGGCCACTTAGTATCTCGCTTTCTCTTTTCGGGTAGTTATATATCGCGGGGGTCAGAGCTACACGGCACAGTGCGCGGAACGAGCGCAGCATTGGGAACACAGTTTGCCAACTCGTTGAGCGAGAGACTCGGAACTCGATAGGCTGCTGACCGGACGGTTCGCGGCCGTGCTGGCGAGCCGGTCCGTTTCGGTTCTTTGCCCCCGTTCCATCGTTCGCGTTCCATCGCGCTCTCCCGCGCCCGACAAAACATGCCGACTGGTTTTTGTACTTTTATATCAAACGTCCATTCCACCGCGTGCGGTGCGATACACACCGCCTCCGATCTTTTCCATCCACTTCCGGGCCCTCCTCGCTTCCCTTCTCGTATCCTCGCTCTTTTCCTCCTTCTCACTGTCTCCCTCTCTTCTGTTCCACGACAACAGATCGACACGGAGCTGCGAGGTGCAGGTAACGTGAGACTAGACAAAGGGGAGAGGGGAGAGGAGAGAATCCTGAAGGAGACCGGTGAACATCGAACCCGGCAGTGGTACAGCAATCACGGGATTGTTACACATACCGCCGTCGTTCCGCCAGCATCGGCTTCGGTATTAGCTCTCTCTCTGTCTCTCTCTCTCTCTCTTTCTCTCTCTCTCTCCTTCACACACATTCACTCTCTCTCTCTCTCCGTCTCTCTCTATCTCTTTCCTTCTCTCCTTTCCGCCGCACCAACGTCGCTCGTACCCTTCCTCTCATCTTCCAACTAGCTGTACCGGAGCTATCTAGTCCGCTGGCAGGATACATCCGTCCGTACAGTTCCGGACCCTCTATCGACACCACCACTAACTCCGGCCGCTGGTACACGTACCTCGTACTGCGGCGTAGAGACCGCGCTGATACGAATACCAAGCACGAACTTTTCAGTGACCATACCCGTGCGCCGCGCGCATCCTGACCCGTCTAAACGTACATCCGAGAAGAAAGGCCACTCTATTACGTACCTCTGAATTGACTTTAAGGAAAGTGCGCTTGAGAGAGAGAGAGAGAAAGAGAGAGAGAGAGAGAGAGAGAGAGAGAGAGAGGACGATGGCCTACACCTCGCCGGCTCTTTCCGGGACAATATCCGATTAGGACGCGTCGCGCAGGAACGATCGTTCGCGTTTTCTGCTGACCGGTATAGAAATGGTCTTCGGAGGGAGTAAATGCTCCTGCTCTTGCACGGGAGAGAAGCGTATTTGAAGGCTGCTCCTTACGTCTTCGTATTATTTCCTTTTCAAATTGTACTCGATGTTGAATAATATAGTAAGAACAACTTTCGACGCCAGCAGCGGGTACGTGCAATTATTGGAAATTGATAATTAACTCCCTCGTTTTATCTTATTAACGTTCTCGCCTTATCAGCTTTTGATCTTTGTGCTGCTAATTAAAACCGGATACGGCGCGCACTTTGCAAAAAGAGCAAGGGATTAATTCTTATGTCATTAAACTTAACCGCCGTGCGTAACGACACGTTCCTAGTTATCCTTTTAAGGAATAATGGAAGACCGCGGTCATTTCGCGCGAACACGATAATTGCTAGCACTCATCTGAATCCAAAGCGAGGCTCGAGCGCGTTACATTTTTCCGCGGAGCCTCGAGCCGCAACCGCGCGCGGTCCGCGTCTTTGTGAATTCCAGATCAGCGAGCGACCTTGCAACGCTTTTTCCCGCCGCTCGTCGAGACATGTCGTCGTCGTCGGTCTTTGTTGTCGCTGTTGTGTGCTTTTTATGCGGTTGTACGGAAAAGGCGATTGCCGGTACGGCGTCGGGAGATGCGGTCGCCGCTTTATTAGGTATGCATCGGAGTAGACACGACGGAGTAAGGAGGTGGTGGTGGTGGTGGTTGGCGGGATAGAGCTCGTGATTCGCGGCCGGCGTTATTAACGTCCGAGCGCTAGAAGCGAGCCCCGATCACATCGCGTTCGTGATAAATCGCTTCGGTGGCTTCCCCCGGCCTCCTGCGCCATTCGCCATTATGTCTTGTACGTTTCATTACAAATTTCCTTTAGTGTCGTTACCCCAGCACGTATGTGCACGCTCGCGCGAGCAGCACACCCGCGAGAATCGAATGCGCGCACACGGGGGAGAGGAGAGCGCGCTCGCCGAGGATAGGAAAGGAAGTAGAATAAGAAGAGGGAAAGATGTATTTATTGTGGGACGACGTCGAGCGGACAAGGCAAAAGTGAACGCGCTCTCCCCCTGCGGACCGCGGGATATTAATTCTTGTTACTCATACGTATCGCCGCGATACTCCCGATGTGGAAGTGGCCAGTAGAAAACAAAGAGAGGAAAATACCATAGCGATGGGGCCGCGTTGAATGATCATATCAAGTGAATAAGATCGCGACGACGCGCAACGATGGGCGAGCTCGGCGCTTGATTTCTAATGGCAATACCTTGTCGCTAATGCCTATCTGTATTTATAATTTCCAATGTGTACACGTATGATTATGACTTGCATCTGATTCACGAAAAATCAATGAAAATCAATTCGGTACTTCCGCTGTTGTCCGCGCGGAATAATCTGCGATCCTTATTCCGCTTCTTATTCTCGACGCATGAATCCGTACAGCGTGCGCGGAGCATACATATTGGCTATTTAATTGGCCAGCTACGCGAAGGCGATGGTATATTCATCATAACGCGATGGCGAGACGACAAGACGGGAGTGAGAATCTGCTACTTAGTTCGCAGAATATTAATGTTCATTATTAATAACTCACCAAGACGCGCGCACACGTGAACGTAAAATATGGAAATATTCTAGTAGTAATAAGATCTTTTCTAATATTCTGACGCGAGTGATTTGATTTTTTTCAATATTGACTCGAGCCAATTACATGAGCGTACAGTTTCGAAACAGTTACGAAAATTGGCTAATCAATATTCTTTGATTTGTTAACTGCGATTTATCCAAGGTATAATTAACGGAATATTTACGCATGCATTATCGCGGCGACATATACAATAGTTGTAAAACACGTCTGTATGTTTGCTCTCTCCATGTCCTCGCGATTGATTCAACCGCGCATTTCTGAATACTGAACGGTAGTGCACTTGGCAAGGACGCAAAGTTGGTTCTAGTCAGCAGAATGCAAAGAATTCGTCGTACGGAATATTGGACGGACAGTAGCGCGGCGATTCGTCGGATATTTACGATCGTCGCTACGATAGTATCCTTTGTGGTCGAGACGTTTGCGTTGCGGCGAATCGCTAATCAAGCAGCCCAGTCGGCCAAACGATATCGTCTCGTACGGTCTTACTATCCCTGTC